TATTGTTAAAGAGTCTTACTAAAGCGAGAGCTGTACAGCGAGGCCTGAACATAACTTTGAGCTTAGACTTCAAAATAACAGTAGCATTGCTTGTGCTAAATGAAATAATGTATAATAATGAAACTTAAATGAATTCTAAATGATGACACTGCTGACACTGATGACAATGCTGGGTATTGTAGTGAGAGAACACTGATGGTCAGTGACAGAGATTTTGAATAAATATTCTATTAATCAGTAATCAAATACATTAGATGTTGTAATCAATAACCAAACAGAAAGTATTGCTTAACAGAGAATATTAATTCAGACAGACTAAGGGAAGGCCTTAGTCTGTCTGCATAAGAGATTCTAGACAATGGAAAGCAGCTGGGTTCACAGAGAGGCCTGTGTGTACCTACTGACCCAGTGAAGAGAGGGGCAAGTTGACCTTGAAAGGTAGAGCGGACTGGTAAAAACCTGTTGAAGCCAGTTTTGAGGAGTGAGCTCATCATGCGATGGCCAAATTGATGGACAAAGAGATGCACCTATTAGAGAACGAGCTAATATCAAAATTTGAGAAGTAAGGCGGGGGGATATCACATTACCCAGATAAATGGTATATAAACTGTTGTTTGGAACACTGTATTTGTGCAGTTGGGGTCTCTCGAGACCCTGTGCCACCTGATGCTGAAATAAAGAAGAAGCCTTTTTCTCCCTTCCACAGGAACTCAGCGGCTGAAGTCTTTTATTCTACTTTCTTTTATTTTTGGTTGAATATTCTTTTTATTTTTGTTCATTTTATTTTTGTTTATTTTTTGTAAGTGATTAAGACAATAATTAGAACAAACCACAGCACAGAATATTTTAGATTTTAAAAACCATCATATGTCGGGGCTTTAGGCAAGGTAGAAAACAGCTCTTGGTCCCAACATCAGAAACAAAATAAGGATACAAAATCCTTAATACTGTCAAAGTGATGAAGCTGATGGATAAAATGCTACACTATAAAATATTACATAACATGACAAATAACATATTAAATGCAAGTTTTAGGTCTAAAATTCCCCATTAAATATTGACAGCATTATGTACAGCAATGACTGCCAGTGCATGTGAGTAGGATTGTATTAAATGAGGAGATAATTTTTGAGTTACAGTCTGAAAGAAGGAAGAGACACTATTGGACTTATGTTGGAAATCACTTGAGGAAGTCGTAGAACCTGTTCAGTCATATACAGGAGATTTTAATGGTTAAAACAAAATGAAATGTCAGTAGTAAAGACAGTTTGGTAGTTATATTGCACTCATTCTCAACGGACACTTAATGCACATACATATACTGGACAGCCACACACATCTCTGTACAGTTTAAACTAGTCAATTTCAAAATCTTGCCACCTTGGCACTGTTATCATGACAGATTGATAACATATATAAATCACTATTTTGACCAATAACATCATTTTCTCCAGGAATACTCCACTCTTTTACATCCTTTGCCATATTTGCAGCATGTGGTCAATTAATTATTAATCATTTAATCATCAATACAAGTACAAACATTACTCACTGTACAAGTAATACAAGCAAACTGACTGTGATGCAGAGATTGTTAAGAGAGAGATTGTTAAGAAGCCGCCTGTTAGTTATCTCACTGTAATGCCAGTTTTACATAACCCACAGCTCTTCACCTTATATAAGTCCACCTACTTATTTTACCTTTCAAGTTTAGCTGAAGTGCATGAAACTGAAAATAAATGCTGACAATTTTGAGCTTCAGCTTGCTTCATTGTGACTTACTGCAGTAAAACAACCAAGCTCACCTGATGGGGTTTTACCTTAGAGCTGCTAAGTTAACTCCAACCTAGAAAGAAGTTATCCTCCTTTTTGCGGCCCTGTCTATAGCCAGAACAACAGGATCAGAAAAAGGTAACAAATAATATTTTTTTATAAAGCACAGTGTTTTATTCATGTTTACTGTGAAAAAAACAGGGTTTTTATGGGGACTTTAAAAGCCGTTAGGCAATGTTAGAGTGAATTCCCCACTGTCTCTGCTGGGTGTGACTTAACCTTACTATCCCAGTCAAATTTGCAGTACTGTCTGAAAACTCTGCAAACTATGAAATCATAACACTACATTATAATTGGGAAATTATAATACTACCATATAATTATAATACTACTATTATAATACTAATATATAAGGCGTTTATAACCGAACCCCAGAGTGAAGCCACTGTAACAACGAAAAACACCTTTTTTTTTAAATATGTAGAATACATGACCATGGTTTTGGAAACCGCTTGCAGTCTGATGTTACCACACCAGCTGCCACAAAACTGCACCAGAAGAAGCTCATGAAAGCAGGTGTTCGCAGCAGCAGCCAATAAAATCACAGGTAAAGTAGTTTTCAAAAGATCTTGTTTTACTCAGTATTATATTATTTAATCTGTGAGATTTATGAAATATTTTCATTAAAACAGTTCAGAACAAAAAAGACCAAACTAAAATTAGAATAGAAAGTAGGTCAAAGCTGCAGCAGACTGCATGCCTTTTGTCTGGGGGGGGGGGATTTTTTGAATTTTTAATTCAAAATATCTTGCTAAATATTTTTAGATATCGACCAGGCCTACTATCATCGCATCTTTTGAATTTGCCAAACTGTTTGCTCAAGACTTGCTAAAAAATTGTAAGATCATTTGCAGAAGATAAAGGATGAAGCTGGAAGCTGAATCATTTCAAATGTATTAAAGAAACATTTTAGTGCATTCAATCTAATGTCTATCTGAAACACCTGCCCACTGGCTTCTATTATAAGCATGTTTTCAGAGAACGGCACTCAACATGTGTGTCCATATAAATTCTTTCCCTGGGGATTATGAAGGTAAGTGCACACTTTATCATTTTTCTTACATTACTTTAGTTACAGGGTAAGATATACATATACTGTCCGTCTCTGTAGCCTGATGTGTTTTTAAAAGTGAAAGTATGCACGACTCACTCAGACATGTTCACTCGCTTCTCAGCGGCATTTAGCCAGTTTGTTCAGAACTTTATTCTAAGTTGAATGCTCAGTCTTTCTTTGATGGGTTGTGACACAGCACGTCGTGCATTTCCTGAAGGAAACACGGAATCGTTGCGCAGCGGTTATTACAATGTCCCAGGTTACCTAAAGTGTTGCTAGGCAGTTGCTATGGTATCCCAGGCCATTGCTAAATTACTGCTAGGCATTGCCATGGTGTTTGGGGTGTGTATTTAGTTTTTCGTAGGAAGTTACCTAATGGTAGCTTTGAGTTGTTTAAAATGAATGGGAGACTATGGGAGGAACAAGGGATGAAAAAAATGACATAAAGAAGAGTGTGGGTCAGTATGTCTGTGGATTAGAGCTTGGGGACCTGCCATGAGTGAGTACATGTAGTTTGGTGGCTACTGGGAAAAAGAAAGATAAGGGCTTTGTTGGGGCCGAAAATGAATTGGCCTCTATGGGATGAACGAGGGATGAAAAAACGACAAATAGAGGAGTGCGGGTCAGTATGGCTGTGGATTAGAGCTTAGGGAACTGCCCTGAATGAGGACATGTACTTTTGTGTCTGTCGAGAAAAAGACAGATTGGGGCTTTGTTACGAAAGTAAATGAATGGGACTCTACGGGAGGAACAAGGGATGAAAAAATGACATATAGATATATATAGACATTGATATAAGCAGAAAAATAAGAATATGGGCAACTATATTGTTATCCGATTTATATTCTTCTTCTTCTTCTCTTTTATTATTATTCTTATTTTTCGGCCGGATTTTCGCCGCGTAACTCGTCCCGCAGTTTTCGAGATATCAACACCGCTCCACTTCCAGATTGTCCGGCCTGATTGCAACCATAATTAGCAGTTTTATAGTATTTGAGACCGGTCTTGGTGACGAGACCATAAACTAGCGGTCTCGGTCTCGACCTCATTTGGACTCTTGTCGGTGACTGGGGTAAGGTGGACTCGGAAATTGTTAGTCCACTGCCTCCGTCTGGAAGCTGAATTATTATTGAATATTAACAAAACCAGAATAAACAGAATAAACAGAAACTCTCCGCTCTGCAGACAGAAGCAGCGGAAAAGGAAAACAATTAAACCTCAAGTTTCAATCTCTGTTTAAGAGGAGTAATAAAGACAGCTTGTGCTCGTATGACACTGTAGGTAATCGTTTATTTCAGTTTTTATATTTATAACTGTTAACTTAGTAGCTCATCGCTCGGCTGTGTAACACTCATCACTAACCGGTGTTCTGGCGAATTGTGCTACCTGGCTAAAATGTCCAACCGTAACACATATTTACACACAGAGCTCTACATAAAACTGTAGGTAGGATATTTTAATAGCTTAAATCACACAAAGCTTCTTATTCTCCAGCTTCTTGTCTAAATTTTCCACCTTTTTAAAACAGTCCACCTTAAATGGCGCTGCAATTATATTCTGGTCCCTCAGGCCACTGAGGCATTAAGGCACCATCTAAGGTGGAACTCCTTATCAGGAAAAATATTACCAGAATAATCTTACTGAGAGCTGAATTTCACTGCTCATGATGTTGTTTACAAATCTGTTGATAGAACATCTTTACTTATTATTATTTTCTGCTGCATTTTTAGCTGTTTTCATTATTTTATGTGTCCACGTAACGTTACTAACTTCTCCCTACAGCAGTCCTAGCTACAGAATGTTATTACTATCTTTTCATTTTATAATAAAAATGGATGTAGTTTATGTTCATTTAACTTTAGCTGGTGATTCTGGATAAGTTTTAGAGAAGAAAGGAACATAGAATAATCTCATCACGCTTCCAGTTACAATGCAAAGTTTGACTGAGGCTGTAATATAATAATGATTAATAATGTTTTAGACTATATACCATTGAATGTTATATTTTACAAAATATATTTAAAAATGTAAGATTATTTATTAGTATATTTAAAGTATAATATAATATCATATTATCATATATCATGATAATAAACCACAATTAACTACAAACAAATGTCACTTATTTGTTTTATTTTTGTATTTTGAAAACATTAGACTCATGTGAAAATATCATAGTAGTCATTAACACAGTGATGTTCATTCAGTTCTTCACTCTTTTTTGCTCTTTGCTGAGGTCCTCCTGCAACATTTACGGAAGAGCCAAGCACACGATTTCACAAAGATGAACGTGACCAGAGCGACTATGGACAGCAAAAAGGCAGCGACGTCCAGGCAGTGGTACTGGTACCAAGTGAGGTCATGGGCGGCCACCCTCAGGTGCTTGGCCCCCTTGTTGTGCATCACAAACTCGATCCAGAAGACAGCCTGGTCCAGCGGCTTCATCGGCTGATCATGGTGGATTCGGGAAAGCCTCATGATGCTCTCTTTGTACCTGACAGAAGAAATTAAGTCAAACTGTGTGTCAAGTAAACAGAGAGGTATCAAGCTTTTTGTGCCAGTTTTAGGGGCAAATCAGATGCGTTCAGACAGGGTGTTATGTACAAAACACAATCCTGAACACTAAGTTTATGGGTCAGTGTGTGGAAAAACACAAAATGCGTCTCTCTCTCATATGCATATGCATTTGAAGGATGGTCAGACAAAAAAAATGGGTGGAGCTATTAAAAGTACAGCTGATTACTGTGTTTACTATGGCAGCTGTTTTTTTTTTTACACATTTTTCTCTGCCACTTAAACTAGGTGCAAATTAGCAGTAGCGTTTCAAAGACGTTCTGTTGAAACACTTCCTTCAAAATCAGATGTACATGCAGTTTATGCAAAGATTAGATAGTGTTAAATTAGATAGTTTGGGCGTCCCTGGTGTAATCACATATTTTGTTTCCTTTCTACGTAACCATAAGTTAAAACATCCTCTACAGAGAACACACTTTAAAGTACAATTACTGTTTATTTGCTGAGCTTAACATATTGTAAAAAAATAAAACTTAAAAGTGGGATTTTTTCTGCAAATGTTAGTGCACACAAGTTTCTACTTATTCACTGACGTTAGCATATTGGAAAAAAACTAAATGCAATAAATATAAGTGCCTTTACTTTTGCACGGGCCACATTTTATGTTTATATGTTACATTCAGCAGATAATGAATTAAAATGTGCAGTAATGTGTTCTCTGTAGAGGATGTGTTAACTAAATCAACAGAATGTCATTTAAGCAGGGGTGCCAAAAGTTTTGCATATGAGTTTGCTAATTAAAAATGGGGTTAAACATATATCGCTGTTGTCGGAAGAAAACCTTGTATCTCCATAATGGTAACTTTACAGGAAAAGGAAAAAACCTACTTTACTTTTAATGTAAGTCAATGGAACTAGACTTCTTCAAAATAACTTAGGGCTGTTTCTTTTGGTCAATTCTTCATGAAATTTACACACAATGTAAAGGGCAACAGGCACACACACACATCATCTAAATGGCTTATCCTTCTGGGTCGCAGGGGAATGCTGGAGCCCACCATAGCCGCCATGAGGCGGAAGGCAGGACCAGGCATTTTCAAATTATGTCCAAAACTGTAAAATACAAGGTTTTCTTCCGACAGCAGTGATATTACATTGCTGTGGTGGTTAAAATTAAAATTTCATAAATCAAGTACTTTTATAGCCTTAAAGCACTGTTTTTTTCTACTAAAGGCATTTTTCAATTTTTGCCATGGAATATCATTTAATTTGCCTCCAACACGAGGGAGTTACAGTACTGTTAAGTTTACACTGAGCACCCTTAAAATAATCTCCATCTTAAAGCATCTGCATTTAAGGAAAATACAAGATCAACTCACGACGGATTGTTAATAACTTCGGTGAGAGCGTCCTTCAGGTCTTTGGTCTCCATTTTGTTCAATTCAAGCATAACAGCGGCTCCTTTGCTTTTCATGTGGAACAGATTGTCTGGCTGGTCACCAAACAGTGGAATGCCCACTATTGGGACACCATGATAAATAGCTTCATAAATTCCATTAGTCCCACCATGAGTGATGAAGGCCTTGGTTTTAGGATGTCCTATCAGAGACAGATCATTAGAAATCATCACTACAGCAAACTAGTATAGTAACAGTGAATATTAAGGTTCCATTGATTTACTGGAATCAGCAATAACATCTATTTAAATGTTTTCTACAAAAAACACATTCAGGAATGTAACACCATTCTGAACAACCAAACACGCCATCAGATGCTAAGATAACTTTTTCTTTTGAGAGTTCACCATTGAGAGTTCATGTTATTTTCAATTTGACTTTTTTTTTAGAATTTTTATTTTTTAAAATGATAATAATAATAGTAATAATAGGAAGAAGAAAAAGAAGAAGAAGAAGAAGAATTGCACTTTAAGCTGCACAGTGTAGGTTTTGGGGGTTTGTAATTTGTAAACATGTAACTGCATGTGACATGCAGAAGAATATATTGTAACATCATTTGTGTTTTGAACTCCTTTTCCAAGTGATGAATCTGATGACTGTAAGCACATTAAAAGAGTATTCAAAGAGAACTCAGTCAAACCTTGGAGAAGGACATGTTTTCCGAGGATGTGAGTGATTTCTCTGCTATTGTCATCATGTCTTCATCAGTATAATGCTGATATTGCATTTGAGACCCAAACATCAAGTCAGATGTTCTTTTTGAGCCTGTGTGTGTGTGACATTAACCTCTGACTTTTAAATTATTATTTCAGGGCGACTGGCAGCTAATTTTTTTTTAAATTTAACAAAGAAAATCATAAGTATTGCAGCTTAAAAATTAGTATCAGTATCTGTGACAAGATTGTCATATTCGTTTGGTCCTAAAACACACTTAAATGACAAAACTGTACCTTACCTAGTAAATCATTCTGGGGAATCCAGTCATAGAGTCTTGTGTTTGGAGCAAGAGTGTCTGGTTTCTCTCCCTTATACCTCCACAAGACCTGTAATTAAACACAGAATTCAGAGAAATGATAAAAAGGAAAAAAAAACTAGTAAGGCCAATGAAGTAAACCATCACAAAACATCTCTTTTTTCCATAAAGAATATAAGATCAAACAACTCTACAATATGCAAGTACTATGGATGGCACTTTGCTTACAGCATTTAAGGTGATAGTACTTGTAGAGTACACTACTCAACTAGAATTAGATATTTTATGGACGGGGCAAAGAGCAGTACAATGAAATCACGTATCTGTTCTATTTATAGTTTTTATGAAGAATAAACACCAGTCAGCTTCAACATGAATCAGCCTTTTATCAAGATGGCTTATAGACAATGAGACGGCTGGAATATTGATTTTCTTTTTGCAGATATAAACATTTCATAGTGTAATCTCAGACCTTTTGTGGGATCTGCCCGAGTGCTGAAGCGATGGTGTTGGCTCTCTCTTTGGTGACGTTCTTCACCATGGAGCCCAGGGAAAACACCACAATTCCATCATCCCCTGAGCTCTGAACAAACTCCTCCATCTCCTACAAAACCAAAAAGCAAAGACAGATACATGGTAGTTCTCTGATCACATTCCTCAAAAAGCTGAATTAAATGCAACAGAAATGAATAGTGACATCCAGCTGCAGCCCCACAGACCAAGCCTCAGCCTGGGCCGAGGTTAGCACAACTGGCTGACAAGCTACTTAAGTTAGCTGTGTGGCTAAAGTGTTGGTGAGGCAGCTCACATTTATGTTAGGTTAAAGGTTTGTCAGCACAAATAAATGGTTTCAGAAAATAATTTTCCTGAGGAGAAAATCAATCCTGTCCCAGACTGCAGATAAACTAGTACCAGGAGATAAACTCTGTGAGGTAATAATCTGTAGTAAGGTTTAGGCTCAGGCACTAAACCTTTATACATTCAATCATTTTCCCAATTATGTGTCAATTCTTAATGTGTAACTCAAGCATGCAAACATTTAAAAGACGTCCTGACAGCCATAACGGTGACCTTACTCTTGGAAGTGGCTTTGCAGGCTTGCAGTGCAGCCCCCCGACAAATTTGAAGTTCGGCAGGAGTGGTCGTGGATACTCAAAGTCCCAGTATGTTCTGATTAACCAGATGTCTGCTTTTCCCAAAGTGTCACAAATTGTTGTGGGTTTGCCTATGAAGTAAAGGAGCAAAGATGATGTGATACTAGACCAGTGTCCTGCATAGTTACTCAAATGTTTCACATAAAATGTTATTAAAAGTGGGGCTATTTTTTCTGCTCCAAATTTCCTATACATATATATATATATATATATATATATATATATATATAAATGCTAAAAGTAAACAATTTGACAAAACTATGAACTGTATCCTTCACAAAAATGTACAATATAAGGAATTATAAATAAATAAAAGCAAAAATATTCATAATGTAAGGATATTTTACCTGAATTTCACATAGAGTATTGCACACGAGGTACTGATTTATGTTACACATGTGATGGCGAGGAGTTAACAAAATAAACATTATAAACAAAAAAGCAAAAAGTCTTTACACTATAGAGATATTTTACAAGTATTCCACATGGAGTATTGATTATACTGAACACAGGAAATGGTGATGCATTCCACAGGAAATGGTGATGCATTCCACAGTTTATGTTCTATAGGTGTGTGAGGTCTAATGGGGGGGTAAAGGAGGGTTCTACTGGGAGCAGTGCTGGTTGTACAGTCTAACAGCAGCAGGAAGGAAGGACCTATGATAGCGCTCCTTCACACACTTGGGGTGAAGCAGCCTGTCAATGAAGGAGCTGCCCAGAGCTGCCAGAGTCTCATGCATGGGGTGGGAACTGTTCCCCAGCATGGATGCTAGTCTGGCTAACATCCTCCTGTCTCCCATCGCCTGCACTGGGTCTAGGGGGCTTCCCAGGACAAAGCTGGCCTTCTTAATGAGTCTGTCAAGTCTCTTCCCGTCTGCAGTTGAAATGCTGCTGCCCCAGCAGACCACTGCATAAAAGATGGCTGATGCCACAACGGTGTCGAAGAAGGTCCTCAGGAGTGCCCCCTGCACTCCAAATGACCTCAGTCTTCTAAGCAGGTAGAGCCTGAGGTCATTTGGAGTGCATGTTATCAAACATGAAAATCATTTGTAGCTTGATTATTGCTCTGTGAGCAACGTATAACAGCACGTTCTCTAACTGCTTTATGAAATCCATGTAATCGGCGAGATGTTCTTGGGTGGCACATATGACGGTGGTATTGCTCAAACTGTTTACGCTATGCATCGCCTCTAATCAGTCCATGAACTTGTACAACCCCCGGGGGCTCATAAGTATGAGCTGATCATTGTTCCTACACAGAAATTGAGCCTATACAAAAACTTGCCAGACAAGCACTTTTAAATTTCAGCACCACTTAAGATCTTCAAAAACTTAGTCAGAAAATAACAAGCACCGCTGGACAAAGAACGCTGTAGGCTCAATCTATAATTTTAATCCTGCTCGTCTTTGAAGCTGATTATGACAGTCTGTTCAGGATGACTGTGGGAAAGGTGCCTCAAGATGTGGCAAAATGAGGACCTGACCAGTTGACCAGATTTTGTTCACAACATACCAGATAACGCTATGATTAGATATGAAAAGGCTCCAATTTTGACATAGACTTGAAAATTGATATCAACAAGCACAGGAGCTGGACTTCAGATGATGTTACTGGCTGGTATATTAAGGGTTGATTTCCTGGGCAGGGATTAAGCCTAGTCCTGAACTACAATTCTCTTTCCATAGATAATCCCCTTCCACAATGCTGTGTAGTCCAAGACTTGATCTCGAGTATCTAGTAAAAACGGAACTGTGTGTCAGCGCCTACAAAAACACACGTTCTTTCTTTCTGCAATTTAGGTTGTGTTAAGTCATTAATATAGTTGATCCAGATGGGGGCACTGAGGTGTCAGTTGGTGCTCATGGTTTGTCAGACCTTTTAACAATATGTGAATTAAGTAAGGTTTAAATCAGTGCAGGTACAAAATGAAAGGAGGCCTTGGTGCTGCCTTACCTGTTATTTTGGTGTAATGTTTATCAAATGTTATCATCTGCTGCTTGTACACTACTGTGAGCACAACATACAACAGCACATTCTCTACCCGCTCTATGAAGTTCATGTGGTCAGTGAGATGTCCTTGGGCAGCAACAGCGGGCACATACGACGGTGGTGTCGGCAACTGACCGCACAGTCTCTCCAAACTGTATGCCACAGACAGTCTACTAGACATCACCTGGGGGAGGCCGAGGGTCTCTGCCAACAGATCACTGCATGGCATCAAAGGATCGTACAGCAGGACATCAAAGTGTGACTCCCTGAGTGAAGCTATGAGCTCCTGATTGAGCAGCATCCCGTCACATATTGATAAGAGATAACTCTGAATTTCAGACATTACGTTCCAAAACAACAACAAAGTCCGAACCCCAGGGACAGCCTCGTTGATCCAAACGTTAATATGATTCTGCCACATGTTCTCTGCATCTTCTTTTTCCACGCTGATCTTAAAAACAATGTATTTGAAGTTCTCCTTTTGCGTGTAGTTGATCGAAGATGACGCTGAGTGAACCAGAACAGTCACACTGTGATTCCGAGCGACCAGCTCATCCACGATTACGCGCATGTTGTACCAGTGGCTGTATTCACCAGGAAGAACCAGTATGTTACCACTGAGAGTCATTTCAGACCCGCTTAGTATCAAAGCTACCAACGGGAGAAGATGTCTGTACATCATGGTAGTAACTAACTGACAGCTCGACTACTTGTTGGCTCCACCGTTCAGCTCACACAGACCTGAAAACCTCACTGAACTCTGATTTAGGTCTCACTGAACTGGGACAAAGGGAGCGGGGCGGAGCTCCAACAACTTCCTTAGATCTCTGAAATTGAATTTTCTAAGTTGTGGTGAAACAGAAGAACAAACTACAATCATCATATTTTGTCAAAGTTAATCTTTCAATTTCCCCGAATGCATTTGATCAAAGCAGCCGGAGTCGCTGCAGCAGGCGCTGAAAGGGGGTGAGGGACCGTCTGAAAAGTGCGGCTATTGTTAAAAAAAAATGTAGAACATTCACAGAGATAAGGAGCCTGTCGGTGTTATTTATAAAGGCTTGAAACCTACTGAAGTACAGAGATGACGTGAAAATCAATAACTGACTTAATCAACTTTCTCATTTTTAAAATATGGACCTTTATTAGCAGTTTAGGCAACCTGCATGTGCATGTAGGGAATTTTTGTCAGCAATGAATTACTCCTGTGACACATCCATATGACGTACAGGTCTAATGTCACGTGTGGTGTACAGAAACACATCTGACAAACATACAACAAACTAGTTTGGTAAGATGTACCTTGATTAAATTCAATCAAAGCATTTTTTCCCAACTAAAGCTTTGTGAGTATGTCTGAATACACAAGTGATTTTAGAACTGTTTGTCAAATGGGTTTGTCACAGAGCAGCAAACCACAAACAAGCATCAAGTGATTAAGAATATTCTAGTCGTGGTCGAGACTGGTACCAGCCTCCACTAGAGTTTCTCACAGTTTGCCCAAATGGCTGCTTGGGATAACTGAGTTCCTTTAAATTGACTGGGATGAGCTATCCGTTTTTATGTCAGCAGTGGACACGGCAGAGCTGAGGATGTCTGGACTTGGCGGACAGAAGTTTGCTGCCCCCGACACCAAGAAAGTACGCAAGCACTGTGTTTTGGGGTAAATGATTTGAAGGTGCCACCTATACATGCTGGAACAATCAACTATAACTTAGCTAGCCTGGAGCTGGCTACTTAGCTTTCTAATGACCAAAAATACAACTTACAAATACATCTTGGGTAATGTCCTCATACTGTCCCTCAGTTAACGTTGGCTTTGTTAACTTTAGGAAATGGTTGAAAGTGTCTGGATTTGGTCCCAGTTCGTCTCACAGCTACAGGCAACTGAGTTCCAACTGTTACCTTACTGGTTTTGACAGTTTTCACCAGTTTTAAGAAGAACGCACGACAGCCGCCTTGATCTGATTACCATTTTAAAATGAAAATTAAATATGCTGTTGCTCATCACTAATGTGGACGTATATTCTAGTAGAGTTCAAATGGGCGGAAAGAGAATGGCGTACTTGGCTCCAACCTAAACCAAGTGTCCAAATACCCCATGTTCTACAAGGTAAAACACATAAAAAAGCAGACTACTGACATTTTGTGCATCCAGTGTGGGTGGTAGGTCAGTAACACCTGCTGAGGCATCATCTCAACATTTTAGCAAATGAATGAATGAATGAACGGATAATAATAATAATAATAATAATAATAATAATAAAAATGTTTTTCCAGTAATGTAGATTCAATACAAATGAAAAAACACAAAATGTTTATCAAAAACCCACATTTAATTATATATATATATTTTTTTCCAACAAAGGTTTCTGCAAGCATCTTCAGACATCCTCTGGATTGCAGTGTCATGTCTGTAGATGTCTATTCATATCCAGGTAGTAATATTGCGTGTTTGCAGAAAACTTCTACCTGGATTTTCACTGTCAAAACTTAAGAGAGCAGCTTGAAGTCCAGAAAAATGGACAGTGATGGTTCAAGGATGTTTGATGAGGAGCATTCAACGGTCTTCAATGACGAGGGGTGCAGCAGATCAACAGGACAGAAATATTCTGCAAACTGGAGAGAAATAAGTCACTTCATAAAAGAAACACCTACATATAACTACATACAACTTGCCACAACTGAGCCGCATTAAAAAGGCTCAAATGTAACACAGCACATCACAAACAGTAGGGAAGAACATGATTTGTGGAAACTAGAGGCCTCGGTCGGCAAAAACCGGCCGCTTCGTCCGCCGTGTTGATCAGACCGGAGCGATGGAACTCTCGGCCGGTGAACAGTATTGTGGGATTGCCTTCACCGACAAGGAAACATGTGATGGTGCCTTCAGATTCGGTCAAAATAAGGCACCTTAGAAGGCTGCCTTCCGAATGGGACAGCACTTGTCTCGGGAGCGCGCAAATGCTGCCTTAGAATGCTGCCTACTTAGACCGCTGCCTCCCGATTGAAACGCGCTATATATTTCAATCCAAGATCAACGTAAAATTCAATGAGCTGCTTCATGTCTGAGCTTAAGCAAAGCACAGTTGCATCGTAACGCAATACATTTGCGAGGGAACGCAAAACATTTGCGAGGGAATGCAAAACCTTTCCGAGGCAAAGCAATGTCGTTAACTTTTTTTTTTTTACCCCAAAACATGCAACGGATGTAATAAATATTCCTGGTCATAATTTTTCAGTACTTGTGTGAAAGTTGAACCCCGGTGCACAGACAGATTAGAAAGCCATTTAGAACGAAGAGAACGAATGAGCGCGCGAGTCAGCCGCCTCGTGACTTAAGAAGCCTTTACGTTTGGAATACGTTGGTGAAGGTTTTCAGGGACAGATGAGGAAAAACAAACTTTGAAACTTGTTGAATGTTTGACTGTTGATGTGATAAGTATGAGCTGACCTCATTATATATTCTGACCGCTTCAGAGCTGTGGGCTAGCCAACAAGTTAACCGTTAACAGCGAGTGTTCTCCCACATCACTGCGTGGAGCTCAGCTGTATTTTTGCGGCTCTTTGCTTAGTTCAGCTTAGCTCAGAGGTTATTATGACTTTAACGTTACGTTAACTCTTCGGGAGGACACTGATGGTTTCTGCCAAGCACTACTGCAGCAAATGCGAATGTTAACTTACATTAGACGACATTAATTAACAGCTAGATTTGAGTGATCTCTCTCTCTTTTCAAAAGAAAACATGTCAACATAAATCAGTAATATTAAAAACATAGATCATATTTTTAAATGCGTACCTCGTCCAGCTTACAGGCCACTCATACCACACACAAATGCACTTCTTTACCTTTACAAACGGGCAATTGAGGCCTGTGTAGCCGACTAAAACATCCTTGGCGGCTGGCTAAACATCCCCCCGCGCAGGCCATGCATAACAGCAGGGGAACTGCGTTATAGTTACGTAGAAAACGTCCTAGGAGGTCTTATGTGTGCTGAAATTGAAGCCTTGAAAACTGAAGACACATTTTTGCCTTTTTTCACAAGATTCACACCTCATGTTGTGGCTATTTTACATTGAGTAGTTTTGTTGTTACTAAATTGTTTTCATTTCCGTCCTTCATTGTCGTTACCCTTATTTTGTAAATTATGTATTTCAAGGCACTAGCAAGAAGAAAACGTCAAGCTGAAACATGCCACATGGGGGGAGAACAAGTCTTACTAGACTTACTAATTATTATTATTAGTAGTAGTATTAGTATTGTTATTATATTAGTAGTATATAGTATGTTTTTGAAAATGCTATTGAAGTAAGCAGGCAGCGATTAGAAAAATGTCAGGCTGCATTCAAACGGCAAAAAGTACAATATTATTAAATGAACCAATGTTAAAATAATTATTCACTATTCAGAGTAATTTTAGTTGTTATTGTTTTTATTTAATATAACTTAAAACCAACAACTCAAAGTGGCTTACAACCCTAAATATAATATAAAAGAGCAAAAATGACACCAAATAAAATAATATGAAGGGGATAAACCCTGAAAAAGCTGAATTAAAAGAAATGAAAGTATGTAAAATTAAGTTAATTCTTCGGCCAATAGTGTAGTTCATTAATAGTGGGATATAGTTGTCAAGCAATACAGTAAGCAGCTGTAGGGCTTCTTTGTGTCAGCCTTTCCCACACAAGTTATGTGGTACCACCGTGTACAGTTGTCACACTGGATCTGTAATCAAGATCACATGTATATTTACAACATTATAGATGTTCAGAGTAAATGTTCATGTAAAATGTCCTATGTATGTGTTCTATGTGCTCTTAAAGATTTGTCCTAAATTTCTTACACAGTAATAATAATAAGAACGACAATAATAATAATATTTATTATTAATTATTATTATTAATTATTTTTATTATTAATTCTTCTTCTTCTTCTTCTTCTTCTTCTTATTATTATTATTATTATTATTATTATTATTATTATTATTATTATTATATTCAGTCAATTGAAAAAATTAGGTTGGACTAACTAATTTCTATGGAGATGCAGTACAGTCATATATTCTGACAGCAGCTGTCAGATTTGGTGACCACTATGCCAAGGCCCATCTGTCCACTCCAGTTATGAATGCTTTCTTTGGCTAACAAGGTAAAGGGATGTTGAGTCACCTGAAAAGATTTGGTTGGACTTTAACTAATGTTTGTGGAGATGCAGTGCAGTCACTAATTCTGACAGCAGCTGTCAGATTTGGTGACCACTATGCCAAGGCCCATCTGTCCACTCCAGTCATGAAGGGTTTTTTTGGCTGAAAATGAAAAGGGATGGTAAATCTCTTAAAAGAAATATCTGTGGAGAGGTCACACATTCTGATTATAGCTCTGATAACTGATGACTCTTGTGCCAGGACTTATGTGTGACAACCCAGCCATTCCATTATTCTCATTTAAAACTTTCATAACTGGGGTTTCAAGACAGGACCTGGCAAATTTATCACAATTCCATCATCTGGCATGAGAATGTACTATTCCACTGTAACACAAAAAAACAATAATAAAATGATCAAAACCTTTGAGGAGACGAACCATCTTTCAACATTTCAGCCAAAAGCTATTATGACCCCCATCTGAATGAAGCCCGATTGAGAGTAGCCTTTAATGGTACACCTTATCTATTTAGCACGAACAGGCGCGAGGGGTGGGAGGATTCTTCTCACAGCTTTGCCTCTATTTATGGAAGTATTTTGCTTCATGGACAAAACGAAACTTATCATTCTGACTGTTCCTCGATGCTTTTAGTGTGTGTGTGTGTGTGTGTGTGTGTGTGTGTGTGTGTGTGTGTGTGTGTGTGTGTGTGTGTGTTTTATTGTGCCTGGCGTTTCCCTTTTCAAGCAAAAAAATCCTGCTATTGTCTGGCGAAGACATTGTCTATTTTTCCTACATATTAAAGATGTAGACAATGTGTAATGAAACATTTGTGTCCACTAATATATGTGTGATTAACAGACAATATGAAATGTAATTACACGCATTTCCCATCGTTAGACTTACTGAAAGCAGCTGAACGAGAAACGAAAGCGCGTCGGCGTGGCTTACGCAGTCTGCGTAAAACGTTCGTGCATGTGAACAGAAACTGCGAAATAGTGCCCTAGAACTCGACGGTAACAGAACTCGGCTGCTTTCATCAGATGTATTCGGGGAAACTGAAAGACAGACTTAGAAATGTTGTTGGTTGTTTAGGAGCAAGAGGAGGGGCGAAACGCGGAAATCCTCTGGATATGCAACATCAGCCTGTTCACCGAGCTCCGCCCCGCTCCCTTTGTCCCAGTTCAGTGTGACCTAAACCAGAGTTCAGTGAGGTTTTCAGGGCTGTGGCTGGACGGTGGAGCCAACAAGTAGTCGAGCTGTCAGTTAGTTTACTACCATGATATACAGACATCTTCTCCCGTTGGTAGCTTTGATACTGAGCGGGTCTGAAATGACTCTCAGTGGTAACATACTGGTTCTTTCTGGTGAATTCAGCCACTGGCACAACATGCGCGTAATCGTGGATGAGCTGATCGCTCGGAATCACAGTGTGACTGTTCTTATCCATTCAGCGTCACCTTCGATCAACTACACGCAAAAGGAGAACTTCAAATACATTGTTTTTAAGATCAGCATTGAAAAACAACAAGCAGAGATCTTGTGGCAGAACATGGTTGACGTTTCGGTGAATGAGACCATCACCGGGATTCAGACTTTGTTGTTTATGTGGAACATGATGTCTCAATTAGATGAATATCTCGGATCAATATGTGAAGGAATGCTGCTCAATCAGGAGCTCATAGCTTCACTCCGGGAGTCACACTTTGATGTACTGCTGTACGATCCTGTGATGCCATGCACTGATCTGTTGGCAGAGACCCTCGGCCTCCCCCAGGTGATGTCTTTTAGACTGTCTTTGGGATACACTTTTGAGAGACTGTGTGGTCAGTTGCCAACACCACCGTCGTATGTGCCCGCTGCTGCCACCCAAGGACATCTCACTGACCACATGAACTTCATAGAGCGGGTGGAGAATGTGCTGTTGTATGTTGCTGCCACAGCAGTAAGCAAACTGCAAATGATGATGTTTGATAAGTATTACACCAAAATAAGAGGTAAGGCAGCACCAAGGCCTCCTTTCTTGTGCATCTAAGTTTTTTTTATTTTTTTTTATAGATGTCTGCACTGATTTAAACCTTAATTAATTCACATATTATTAAAAGGTCTGACAAATCATGAGCACCAACTGACACCTCAGTGCCCTCATCTGGATCAACTATATTAATCACTTTCCATAACCTAACGAGAAAAGAAAGAATATGTGCGTTTTTGTAGGCACAGACACAGAGAGTGTCATTTTTACTGGATAGAGATCAAGTCTAGTCTTGCATTGTGGATGGGGATTTTCTACAGAAAGAAAAATGTAGTCCAGGACTAGGCTTAATCCCTGTCCAGGAAATCAACCCTTAATATACAAGCCAGTAACATCAGTCCAGCTCCTGTGTTTGGTGATGTCAATTTTTCAAGTCTTTGTCAACATTGGAGCCTTTTTACATCTAATCACAGCATAATCTGGCAGGATGTGAGCAAAGACGAGCAGGATTATAACCATATTTGATCTCACAGTGTTCTTTGTCCAGCAGTGCTTGTTCTTTTCTGCCTGGTTTATTGAAGGTGTTAAGTGGTGCTGAAGTTCTAAAAGTGCTTATCATGTATTAAGTTTTTGTATAGCCACAATTTCCATGTAAAGAGGGAGCTTGAAAAAAATGATCAGCTAATACTTATGACCCCCAGGGGTTGTGCAAGTTCATTCAAACTGCAAATTATATTCATGTTTGATATGTATTACACCAGAGTAAGGGGTAAGGGAGCACCAAAGCCTCCTTTTGTTTTTCTAATGTCTTACTGTGCTCGTAGCTCATGTTGGTGCTGAAAAAGTTTGAATTTTAGCATCTTTCACTAGTATCTTCCAGTGTACTAGAAAATTAGGAACAGAAAAAATAGCTCCACTTTTTGTAACATTGAAATAGTATCACATCATCATTGCTCCTTTACTTCATAGGCAAACCCACAACAGTGTGTGACACTTTGGGAAAAACAGACATCTGGTTAGTCAGAACTTACTGGGACTTTGAGTATCCACGACCGTTACTGCCGAGCTTCAAATTTGTCGGGGGGCTGCACTGCAAGCCTGCAAAGCCGCTTCCAAAAGTAAGATCTCCGTTGTAGCTGTCAGGACGTCTTTTGAACGTTTGCATGCCTGAGTTACACGTTAAGAATTGACACAGAATTGGGAAAATGATTGAATCTTTAAAGATTTAGTGTCTGACCCTAAACCTTACTACAGATTATTACCTCACAGAGTTTATCTGCTGGTACTGCAGACAGCAAGTAAGCAGTCTGGGACGGGGTAGATTTTCTCATCAGGAAGTTCCTTTTCTGAAACAATTTATTTGTGCTGACAAACGTTTAACCCAACATTAATGTGAGCTGCCTCACCAACACTTTAGCCACACAGCTAACTTAAGTAGCTGGTCAGCCAGTTGGCTAACCTCGGCCCAGCCTGAGACTTGGTCTGTTTCATTTTGTAGGAGATGGAGGAGTTTGTTCAGAGCTCAGGGGATGATGGCATTGTGGTGTTTTCCCTGGGCTCCATGGTGAAGAATGTACCCAAACAGAGAGCCAACACCATCGCTTCAGCACTCGGGCAGATCCCACAGAAGGTCTGAGATTACACTATGAAATATTTATATCTGCAAAAAGAAAGTCAACGTTCCAGCCGTAGACATGGACTAGGGGCCCATATTACAGAAACTTCTTAAGTCTGAAATCTTATCTGTTTAGTCACCATGACAACTTCAATTAGAATTGAATTTAGGACAGTAGCTATAACAGAACAACAGTTCTTAAGTTCTTAATCTTATCCATTAACTATTAGAAAACAGTATTACAGAAACACCCTAACTATACTAAATTTCCTAAGTACTGTCCTAACTTTAAGATAAAGCCCAGAGCTTCTTAACTTCTGTTTTAACCGTCTGTTTCTATTGTTTTATGCAGTGACAGACAGCATAGTTCACTATAACTGGCATAATGACATTACATTTACCTACATCGAAAACTGTGACTTGACTTGCGAGGGTATTTTTTTCAAACAGCGTTTTACACACTTAGATCGCGCTTTAGTTTTGTTTGACCTTTTTTAAATCAGTAACGGTAGCTCTGACCTGTCAGATCTTAAGTTGAGACAAAAAAAGGATGTTTCTGTAATACGGCCCTAGACAAACGACCCTGCAGATATTAGATTTCATTGTAGTGTTCTTTGCCTCTGCCTATAAAATATCTAATTCTACTTGAGTAGTGCAGTCTACCAGTACTATCACCTTAAATGCTGTAAGCAAAGTGCCATCCATAGCATCTGCATGTAGTAGAGTTGTTTAATCTTATATTCTTCATGGAAAAAAGAGAAGTTTTTGTGATGGTTTTCTTCATTAGTCTTACTATTGTTTTTTCCTTTTTGTCATTTCTCTAAATTCTGTGTTTAACTACAGGTCTTGTGGCGGTATACGGGAGAGAAACCAGACACTCTTGCTCCAAACACAAGACTCTATGACTGGATTCCCCAGAATGATTTACTAGGTAAGGTACAGTTTTCTCATTTAAGTGTGTTTTAGGGCCCAACCAATAAGATAATCTTGTCACAGATAATGATGCTAATTTTAAAGCTGCACTATGCATGATTTTTTTGGGGAAAATTGAAAAAAATTAGCATTGCTAAGTTTAGAGAAAAAAACACTCTGAAATATTGTGTTTGTGCACTGCTGCAAGTCGCTCTGTAAAGCCTGAAACAAGTCCCCATACATAATAGTTAAGATAATTGAAGGCATTCTGTTTTCCAGTGTTACTCAACCTTTATCCGGTTCATTGCTGTTGTGACGTAATACTGATTTGTTCTGTATCGACCAAAATAATGTCGTATGATAGAAATGAAACAGATTCCAATATTTCCATTCTTTAGTGCCTTACCGCCTGATGTGCTTGCCGATTGTCACAAGTCAAATATGATTGTCAGTTCCCAGCTGTCAGTTTTCGCTCAATATCTCAAATAATCAGCTGGACCAAAGCAGAGGAAATGTCTTAAATTCTATAAATAACGAATAAGCCATCTAAGCAAACAACATGAACTCTCATAAGAAAAGGTTATCTTAGCATCTGATGGCATGTTTGGTTGTTCAGAATTATGTTATATTCCTGAATGTGTTTTTGTAGAAAACATTTAAATAGATGTTATCGCAGATTCCAGCAAATTCATGGAACCTTAATATACACTGTTTTTGGCCTAGTATATACTGCATCCGTTTGTTGTAGTGGTGCTTTCAATGATTTGTCTCTGATAGGACATCCTAAAACCAAGGCCTTCATCACTCATGGTGGGACTAATGGAATTTATGAAGCTATTTATCATGGTGTCCCAATGGTGGGCATTCCACTGTTTGGTGACCAGTCAGATAATCTGTTCCACATGAAAACCAAAGGAGCCGCTGTTATGCTTGAATTGAACAAAATGGAGAGCAAAGACCTGAAGGACGCTCTCACCGAAGTTATTAACAATCCGTCGTGAGTTGATCTTGTCTTTTCCTTAAACACAGATGCTTTAAGATGGAGATTATTTTAAGGGTGCTCAGTGTAAACTTAAAAGTACTGTAACTCCCTCGTGTTGGAGGCAAATGAAATGACAAAAGGCAAAAATTGAAAAAAGCCATGAAATGAACAACAGGTGGTTAAAGGCTATAAAAGTCCTTGAGCACTATTTATGACCTTTTTATTTTAATCTCCTCAGCAATTCAATATATATGTTTTACCCCAGTTTTAACTGGCAAACTTGTATGCAAAATTTTGGGCCACCATGCTTAAGTGACATTTTGTTGATTTAGTTAACACATTCTCTACAGAGAACACACTTCTGCACATTTTAGTGCATAATCACTAGTTATTTGCTGAATGTAACATAAATAAATAATGTAACAAATAATAAAAATGTGGTCTGTGCAAAGGCACTAAAAAATAAATTTGGTTTTGTCGCCAATATGCTAACCTCAGTGAATAAATAGAAATTCTGCAATAACATAAAAAAATCCCGTATTTAAGTTTGTTTTGTGCACAGGCTGCATTTATTTATTTACTTATTTTTAACATTAGGCTAAGCAGAGTAACCAGCTGCACTTTCAATAGCTGCACCCATATATTGCCTGATAACACCCTGTCAGCACGCACCTGATTTGCTCTTAATACCTCTCTGTTCACTTGACAAACACAGTTTGACTTAATTTCTTCTGTCAGGTACAAAGAGAGCATCATGAGGCTTTCCCGAATCCACCATGATCAGCCGATGAAGCCGCTTGACCAGGCTGTCTTCTGGATCGAGTTTGTAATGCGCAACAAGGGGGCCAAGCACCTGAAAGTGGCAGCCCATGACCTCACTTGGTACCAGTACCACTGCCTGGACGTCGCTGCCTTTTTGCTGTCCATAGTCGCTCTGGTCACGTTCATCTTTGTGAAATCGTGTGCTTGGCTCTTCCGTAAATGTTGCAGAAGGACCTCAGCAAAGAGCAAAAAAGAGTGAAGAACTGAATGAACATCACTGTGTTAATGACTACTGTGATATTTTCACATTGGTTTAAAGTCTAATGTGCTGTACTGTACTGTAAATGTACAGCATACATGCCTCAGTTTTTTTACTGTTTGTGGGCCAGTGAACTTAAATCCTACATTCTCAGCGATTCTAACACAGTGTAAAGTAATTACATGTTTTATAATTTTCACTGCTCTAGACAACAAAGGGATTTTATCCATATCTTGCGTGTTTCGTTTTAAATAAAATGAAATTTTGATTATATAAATGTCAAATTAACTTATTTTTTAGATTCTATATATAGATAGACTGAATTGTAATGTGATTTTCCCGGATAGTTGAAACTTGAATGACAGTGAACCTAAAAACTGAACAAAAGAGAACAAAATATGACCACAAGTCACTTTTTAAAGTGTGAGGAATAGTAGAAGAATCATTAAGAAATTTACGCCTAATAAACGACTAATGAATAAGAATAATAAGAAAAATCTGTATAAACTGTGTTTGTCTCTTAACATTACGAGCACAATTAACCTGTAGCATTTCAAGCAACCTGCCTGATGTGGACATGTAGGTTCAGTGTCTCTGTCAGGGATTAAGCATAGAGTTGAAATACATTTTTCTTTAAATAGAGAATCTCTATTCAGAATGCTGTGTATTCCAGGACTAGGCTTAACCCCTTTTTGCAGGCCCCTTAGTGGCCATTCCACTGGTGGAATAGAAATTGACTCAGATATTTTGAATCATTTTGATTAAATGAAATGTTTTCTCTGTAACTCTGCTATCAGATTAAATAGGACACTGTTGGCTCTCTGTGTGTGAAATATTGGGACTCTTGTGTTGAGCTGCTAGCTAGCAATGAGGGGTGAATGGGGAGGACCCTCTGCTGTGAAAACAATTCACCACTCTCCACAAAGACGGCCATACTGAGATAAAACAGACACCTGTAGCTTTCTTCATATCAAACAACTGTTTACAACTGTGTGATGATGACTGCTCCCAAGCCATCATCACCAGACTAATTACTAGAGTTGTAGTCAAGAGCGCTAGAGCTGAGTCTGAGTCAAGAGTGAGACCAGATCAAGTTTTTTTTCTGAATAAATGAATAAATGAAATTTGTTTGTAGTGAATTGTACATTCGCTATCATGACTTATAAGTTATTGGTGAAGCCCCAAAGCGTCAGCATTTACTTTCAGTTCTATGCACTTCGGCTAACTGAATATAAAGTAAAATAAAAAGAAGGTAAAGAGCCGTGGGTTAGATAAAACTGGCATTACAGTGAGACAGCTAACATACAATCTCTATCTCCGTATCTCCATCAGATTGCTTGTATTACTTGTATTGTGAGTAATGTTTATATTTTTATATCTGATTACATCGCCCTATCGCCCAGGCCTAAGTGCACTTCATTTATCTCAGAGCGTATACTAACCTTTACCCTCCCTGCTTGCCAACATTGAATGAGGACACCTAGCAATCGGGGAGAATTTGCAATAATTCAGTTTAGGAAAAAATGGAATAAAAATTTCAAAAAAGAGAAAAGGAAAGAAATGAATGTGCTAATCGACCACATGCTGCAAATGTGGCACAGATTAGGTTGGAAAAGAGTGGAGTAGTCCCAGAGAACATTATGTTACTGGTTACATTATAAATATATATATATGTTAGCAATCATGATCTGTAGCGCTGTCATGATAACAGTGCCAAGGTGGCATGATTTTGAAATTGACTAGTTTAAACTGTACAAAGATGTGTGTGGTTGTCCAGTATGTGTACGTGCATTGAATGTTCCTTGTGAATGAGTGCAGTATAACTACCAAACTGACTCTCCTACTGACATTTCATTTTGGTTTTTAAGTGATTTCCAACATAAGTCCAATAGTTTCACTTTTTAGAATGCAAAAATATCTCCTCAGTTCTACTCGTATACATCCTTGGCAGTCATTGCTATACATAATCCTACATAGTGGAATTTCAACACTTAGCATGTTATTTGTCATGTTATGTAATATTATGTAGTGCAGCATTGTACCCATCAGCCTCATCAGTTTGATAGAATTTTGCATCCTATTTTGTGTTTCTGACCATCAGTGTTCTCTCACTATAATACACAGTATGCTACTGATGTAGAAGCTAATAAATACAGACATGGTGTTCAGCTTCATAGCAGCAACATTAGCTATCTGGCTTCCTTCTGCATTAGCCATCTAGCAGGAAAAATAAATAAACAGCCCATCTTCAAATGTCCCAAAAGTTGTATACACACTCAAAACGATGGTTCTTCAAGGGTTCTTTAGTAAAAATGTTTCTATATAGGACCATGAACACTCAAAGAACCCTTTGCATGTTTAAATGCTTTACATCGTGAAAGATTTCTTCAGATCGATTGAGAATGTGCTGTCGACTGAAACACTAGCAGAACCCTTTTTAGTGCAAAGAGCCTTTTAATCATGCAAAGGGTTCTTTGAGTGGTCGTGGTTCTGTTCAGAACCATTTTCTTTACTAAAAAACCCTTGAAGAACCATCTTTTTTAAGAGTGTAGTTTTTCAAAAATTCCTTCAAGATACATCATCGGAAGAGGGTTTTTCGACTATTGTGGCCCGGCTGTAGAAGGTGAGTAGATATGTTCACAATACATTTAGCAATGGCTAAAGTTTTTGTTTTGGCCAGAGAGCCCCTTTAAGCTGTTATTTTGCACAGGCATATGTTCACAGCACAACAGAGGGTGAATTGGATTCGTTGAATATTGGCAATTGCATGTAAATAAAAGAAAATGCATTTATTAAGACACATAATGGTTTTTACCAAAACAACAAAAGTTCTAACTCACAGTTAGAAGGCGGTTTGATGTTTGTTAATAACACCTTTAGAGGGCGGCAGTAAGTAATGTTTGTTTATTTTTAGCTGAATGTTCCAGGGAACCTAAATCTGTATTTTCTTAATAATTATTTTAACATTGTTCTTGCAGGCAAAGAGTAAACATGTACTAAGTATACTCTTTGAATAATGTTCCAATGCCCAATAAATGACCAATTACTTCACCATATTTCTCTCCTCTTACTGTAAACTGTGAGGTCCTAATCATAGTAACGCCTACATAAGCATTCTCCTGACCAATCACAAGGCTGATGTCTCTTGCCTCGCTCACACAAGTGAGCTGAAGCTTACTCACAGCACTGCTGTGTCTGATCCACTCAGACCAGCGCAACACACACTAACACATCACCACCACGTCAGTGTTACTGCAGTGCTGAGAATGACCTACCACCCAAATAGTACCTGCTCTGTGAGGGTCCTTGGGGGTCCTGACCACTGAAGAACAGAATAAAAGGGGGCTTACAAAGTATGCAGAGAAACAGATGGACTACAGTCTGTAATTGTAGAACTACAAAGTGCACATTGTCCTAAAATGGACAATGAGCGTAGAAACAAGGAGGTGGTCATAATGTTACGCCTGGTCAGTGTATATGTGCTCCAGACAAGAAGGCTGTCTCAATTCTTAAATACCTGAACTATGCTGCCCACTAGGGTATTTCATTCTGATCGAATATCGAGAGAGCACTGAATGCTTCCTCAGCCGCTAAATCAATCCCACAATGCAACTTTTGTTTGAAGATGGCGGGCAGAAGGGTGTGGCAAACATCCTGGTAAGTGATAGTTTGCTCTTAAGTTCCCTGTGTTTGCATACACAAGCTGTTTCCACTCTTTCAGTGACCAGATCAGCGCTCAAAGCCTTCATAAAGGCTCATATTGAGAGTGAGGCTGCTCACAGGGGAGAACTTTATGCTGTATTGTGTAACTGTAAATGTATTTATTAAAATGTATAGTTGTGTATGTCATTGTTCTGTTTGTTTAACGCAAGTTATCCGCAATTGTGTGTGGTGTATGTAGATTTTAATTTGATGTATGTATTAATGTGTATGTTGTATGTAAATATTCAGAACAATAAAACAGTATCTGTTTTTTAAAAATCATTATTTGTTTAACTGGCAGCTAGGTGATTAATGAATCTTGTTTGTTGAGGATAAAGGGTTTACTGTTGTTTTCCCTCCCTCCGAGTGCTTAGAGGAAAGTTTACCCTTGTAAATTTTAACCGTTCAAGAGCAGCAAGTAGCGCTCAAATTCATTTCAGCGTCTGACCACAACTCCTGTCTATTCTGCTGTTTCATTCAGAGCAAATAGGCCACCAGATCCTAATATAGGCCACCAGAGCAGGATCCATGGTGGTAAAATGCTGAGGTAAACGCCGGCCATGTGCAGAGGGGCGATGTCATTCCAAGAGAGCAAATGATGTGCGGTTCATGGAGCGCAAAACAGGGTGAATCAAGACAACAGGACTGACTGTTGGGATAGAACTGAGGAGCTGGTCAGTGACAGAGGCTGGCTGAGCAGGATACTGGGGCCTCTGGAGTAGCAGGGAACAGGGAAGCCAGGGGAGTGACATGGGGAGCTACCACTAGAGCTGCCCATGGACCTGGAAAGGAACAGCTGGGAACAATGTCTGTGGTGACCGCCTTAGAGGCCAACTGGGCTGTGGTGACATCCTCAACTGCCAACAGGGCTGTGATGATGTCCTCAACTGCCGACAGCGCTGGAGGGTCATCCTCTCCTGAAGACGGGACTGCAGTCTTTAGTAAAATAATTAATAAATTAATTAGTAAATTAATGAGTAATTTCTAGTTTTCATCATTTGTGAAAATTGAGCTTATTTACTATAAATTGATCACCGCAACGTTTATGACCCCAATCAGCTGAATTTGTTGAATACAGATGGTCAGTGTAGGTGTTTGTGCTAAATACTGCTAATTAACCTGAGTGGGATCATAGACGTTGTGGTATAGAGTATATTCATATTTAATGCTTGGTCAAGCTTTCAAGATCCCATCTGATCTGGCCTGTTAAACGTTTATCAGATTTATTTAATTTACTTTTAGAAAAAAGCATGAAAACCAATATTTTACCAAACTAAAGGTTGTTGTATGTTTG